GGGGGGGGGGGGTTCTGCAGACAGGAGGACGGCGAGGAGGAGAATCATCGATCCGCATTCATTCTGCTGAAGTCATGACAGGAGGTGACTCTTCAACTTGAGGGATGTGTGTTTCTGAAAGCGGGCGATGACTATTTTGGACACAATATGATTTTATTTGCCCACTTCGAATATTTATAATGTCCCAATTCTACTGCAGATGTTTCCGTGAGATTCTGCAGATAAATGGCCACCTCTCTGTTTTAATATATCCAAATATTAGAAACCAACCCACCTGAATATTAGTATCCCATAAGGGTACCAGAATGCAAATATTAGTGTGCTCGGTCGGACATATTTCTTTTATAACAATTTGCCTCATTTTGATATTAAAAAATACGTTTTCTGACAACTTTTAATGCAAATAGAAAAACCTTAAAGTGAGTAACCAACTAGAAGTGTTATAGTGTTATCTATTCCTTAACATGTATACTCTTTTCTTCATTAATAAAAGGCCGATTTCGTTTCTCAGACAAACCTCATTAAACATAGATTTGACGCATATCCTGTCTAAAATTCACATTTAATTTATCAGCATATTTAATAAACGTTTTGTTTTTAAAAGCAAGTCGAGCTAACAAACCTGAAAGCTGAGCGGGATATCAAAATAAATGCAATAATAAGTGACAAATATTTTGATTTTGAGTTTTTTGCAGTTAACTGAGTATATTCTGCAGTAAATAGAACATATGTTGCAGTGGAGTGAGTATATTTAGCATACAGTAAGTACACTGAGTATCGTTTGCAATACATTGAATATATATTGCTGTATAGTTAGTATATTTTGCAGTAGATTGAGTACTTTTTGTATTATTATTATTATTATTATTATTTGTTTTAAGACAGAAGGTAAAGCGTGAATTCAGACTCTCTCCTGAAACCAAAAGCAGCGTCCGTCCCCCCCCTCCCCAGGAGCAGGTTATTGATCGGCCTCGTAGGTAGTGATTGGACGAGAGTGGATCGTTTCCTCGGCTGCATTAGAGTCCATTACTGCCCGCGCCCCGGAAACACAGAGGCATCCTCAAAGAGAAAAAGATTCTTCTTGGAAAAGCTCCGACAAATGATTCAGTTTACCATCAGAGACGAGAAGGAAATAATTATCACTCTTATTTATCTGTTTTTAGAGCCATTTTTCACTCTATTTGAATCCATCCCCCTTTAGCTCCCATCGGCAGAATGCAAACACTTTATTACGTCGTTATTTATACACTCATTCAACTTGTATCTTGAGTCGGAAATACATCAAGTAGGGACATTAACGACAATATAACTGAGTAAAAACTAATATTTTAAATAACTCCAAAGCACCAAATAGATACATACGGGACTTGATAATAAATACAAATAAAAACAAATAAACCAACAAAAAAATTGCAAAACTAGAGACATTTTGAATTGCCTTAATAATCAAATAAAGTTAAGAGTTCAATTTCAAACAGCCGGCACTTGCAACATCATCAAAGCAATCATTTATGTAGTAGGCTATGTGTTACGTTCCCTTCTGGACCAGGGGAACCAAAGGGAAGTGACAACATGTAAAATAACCGGGTGAGAGAAAAAAGGAGAGGGAACTGATTTGTGAAACCACAAGATGGTCTTTTAATTAATAAAAGTAAAGAGGGCTCACCAGCCAATTCGCAAACTTACGACAAACCAAAACAACTTTCTCATAAAAGGGAGAAAATCAGGGGGAGAGGGAGAGAGGCGCACACACACCCACACCCACACCCACCCACACACCCACACCCACCCACACACACACACACACACACACACACACACACACACACACACACACACACACACACACACACACACACACACACACACACACACACACACACAATATATTACATTGGTTATTCAAACCTTTTTTTCTTAATGTTCTAAAATAGTTTGGGCCCCTGTCAGTCACGGGCCCTTAGAATCGTCCTAACCTTTCACCCCCTTACGGCGCCCCTGCAAGAAACCCACTATGGCACGTAACACTATGTATACAATTAAGCTATTGTTGTTAACAAATATACTTAGAGTAAACTTAGACATGTTGGCAAAGCTGCTTCAAACTTGATTCTAGTGGGTTATGAAACAGTTTTGCAATAATGTCCATTTTTAAATATGTTTTCAGTGAAGGAGCCAACCCAGGCCAGTACACATGTTATTTGTGAAAAATAAAGTGAGAGAAACTTCCTCTGGAGGGAACACAGGGATTTTAGCCTCTGCAGACCATTTACATGCACTGAAACCTACACAGTCTCACAAAGAAATGTGTAATAGCTACGTTGGTCCACCGGGCCAAACGTAGAATATTCACAAATAACCCTCTGAAGAAGTAACATGAGCCGCTTTCACACCAAGTACTTTGCGGTACTTAGTCCCGCCGAACTCTTTAGTCCCTGAACTATCTAGTAAATCGCGTTCACACCAGAATAAGTTCCTGAGGGAAGATTACGCAAATGAAGCCGCTGACGTCACTTCTTCTTCTTCTGCTTTGGGTTTACTGGCAGGCCTTAAACAACTTCACGGCGTGGCAGTAAATCGCCACCCGAAGTCCCGGGTAAATCGCCAGAGCGCCGACACGTCCTCATCACTCCACCGCTCCCACGTTTTATTTTGGTTGCCATAAGCTAGTCTCTCTCCGTTGGTGCGCTAATGCTAATAATGCTAATGCGAGCAAATAAAATGGCGGCTTCACAAAACTTTTTGGGAGTTTTACGGGGCGTGGTTTGCAAATTGGAACCGTTTCCTCCCCAGGAAAAGTACCTTTTTGGTGTTAACGCAAAATCCCAGGAACTATCGGAACTATTCCTGGGAAAAGTACTCCGAAAGCGCATGGATACAATATTTTGTAAAAAAAAACATAGAGCTCAAATAATTTTCGTAATATCTATCAAACTATAGATCCTACACATCCACTGGACGTCGATTCTAAAAGTAAAAAATAAACTTCTCGCTGGAAATGTAATCAAAAAGCATTTTAACGCCAAACTATCTACAATTTAGGATTTTCCACTCAAAATAAATCGGGTGCCGCCATGTTTTTCTTTCTCACTGGGAAAGTTTGTGATCACGTGACATGGACACTGGTCATTAGAAAAGAATAGGAACAAATATTGTATCCATGTCACGTCTTGAGAGGGTTATTTGTGACTACGTTTTGCCCTGTGGAGAAACGTCGCTATTACACGTTTCTTTGTGAGACTGGGTTGACTAAAACCTACAGAACTACAGGAGAGGGGAAACAACAGAAAGCACAACAGGGTCTCTTTAAAGAAAGTGATCATCAGGGAAGTTTCCTGCTGATATCTGCTGGTAGAAAAAGGTTAAAGGCACCGCCCTGCATAACGATGGCATTTGAAGCCTAGCAGGTGACACTTTTTTTTGGGTGTGTGTAAATCTAATAATGCGAGATAATGGTCTCCTCCCCAGGGGAAAGGGTGCTTTCTGCAGGAGAAAGACGGCTTGTTTGATTTGAAACAAGAGAATTATGATACTGTACAAAGTTAAGCAGTATCAAATTGATAAACAAAAATATTATTGATTTACAAATTATATATAAACAAATGATCTACCTAATTTACCCATATTTAATCCCTTACTGCTCATCATCAGGGCCATTCAATTCAATTCAAAGTTTTTATCGTCAGCTCAAAGCTACAGTGTGGGCAATGAAATTCTTCTGACCTGAGCTCCTCCAACAAGGCAACATAATAAAATACAAAAATACAAAATGAAAAGTAGTGCAAGAAGTATACATGTAAATATAATATGATGTGTACAAGAACAGAATATGAAATTAAATAATGTACATTAAGGCACAATTAAATAGCCTACGGTTTATTGCGGTGATAACTATTTATATAAATTAGTATACATTGCAGATGAAGCATTTAAACCCCTAGGAGGACCCCTTAAACCCCAGATTGCTGCCTCGGTAGAAGAGGCAGCAAAGCCTTGGTGTCTTGGTGCATACATACAAGTAAAACAACAATTTGAAAAACACAGATAGCGAACTATGATAGTGTTCTTAAAATAGTTCGCTATCTGTGTTTTTAGTTTTAGTTTTATTTTGATGTATGCACCATGACATCAAGTCAAATTCCTCGTACGTGTCACCTGGTGATAAACCTGATTCTGATTCTGATTCGGTAAAAGAGGAGGAGGAGGAAGAGGAAGAGGAGGGAGGAAGAGGAAGAGGGAATCCTGCTGCGATGCACGGAGGCTGTGAGGAGACGCTCCCCGGGTCTCCGGAGCTCATGAGGCGGGTCCAAAATCCGCAGAACCGCCGGGGGGGTCCGGGTTTCCATCTGTACTTCCAGGAAAACACAGCATAGCTTCGGCTGGAGGAGAGAGGCTCGGCTCGGTGTCCAAATCCCGGCGTCATCTCACAGAAGCATCGGCGGTGGCGCTGGATCCTCTGTCGGGTTGCATCTATGCTATATATTCTCCACTTTTCATTTGATCATGAGCACAGAGGAGGGAGAGGCGCGTGGAGGGGAGGAGGTGAAGGGGGGCGAAACCCTCCCCCACAGCCACACCTGGGGGGAAGGAGAGCCTCACGGTGGCGGGGAAAGACGCCTGAACCCCGGGGAAGAGAAGGAGGAAGAGCCGGGTGAGGAAGAGGAGGCCCGGAGCTGCAGGGATGCATGTGAGGGGAACAACGGGGGGCATTTCTCCCGCGAGGAAGAGGAGGAGGAAGTGGGGGTTTTGGGGGGGAAATCGTGCAAGGAGCAGACGATGCATTCAAACAGCAGCAGTGAGACCTGCATCCCCACCCCCAGCTGCAGGATCTGCTTCCAGGGAGCCGAGCAGGTACAACCAGCTGTTTCTGTCACATGCAAAGTACTGGTGGTGTGAAGGGTGGAGAGTAACTAAGTAGATTTACTCAAGTGCTCTGTGGAAGTACTTCTACTCGAGTATTTGTACTTCCTGCTACTCTTAACTTCACATTTTTTACTTTGAACTCCACTACTGGACATTTATCTGACAGATTAAGTTTGGATATTGTATTTAGAATCCAAAATATAATCAACAAGTAGTTTATCATGTCAAGATACACTTTATAGATCCCTATGTTTCATTCAACACATAGTAAAACAAGCATGTCTAATCAATAAGTAATTCATCATGTTTTTTAAATAGATGAACTTTTCTGTTTCATGTCAGAATAAGGGGTGATTTCATCCAGTTAGGGTTAGGGGATGGAAACATGGATGGGTTCATACATTTAAATGCGTTTCAAAACAGAATCCTGACTAAACTTCCACATGTTTCTGTGTCCTGCTGCTCTGATTTGAGATATAGTCAAAAACATTGAACATTTTAGCTATTTTGAACTCAACAATGTTCTATAGTTTTGTATAAATTAGGTCTATTGACACTAAATGCCATAAAGAACCAAACAAAGAACAGCTCGCAGTGATAGTTTGACATGTAGTTGGCTTTAGAGGTGTGACACACATTTGGCAAAAGCTGCTAGTTGTGTGGATAAACTTTATTGATCCTTGGTGAAAGTCACAAGCTACCTGTCTATATATATATATATATATGTATTTAGTAAGAACAACTCTACTACGACTAGCTGCAACATTAAGTGATAAACACATCAATAATTATAATCCAAAAACTCAACATGTGTATTACTTAGTGCTAACCTACTTTGCTAACCTGTAGCAGAGTAATTCTAAACATTGAATTCACTGCTTTATCTAAAGAGTTGGTGAAAGTTGGCTTTAATTGAATGAAGGTGCTGCATGGTGATTGGCTGCTGCTGCAGTCAACGTTTCTGATTGGATGGATAATAATAGAAAAAGAGCCAAAGTAAATGTGAAGATGTAAATCTGTAATGTTATTAAGAGTTACAACATGAAGTGCAGAGAAGGACCTTGAACTGACTTCAGCGCCGTGGACAGAGCATACCTGCTTCTACAGGTGGAAAGTAATCAAGTACAAGTACAGCAGTTCAGAGTACAAGTACATGCTGTATAGTGTTAACTGTTTGTACCTTTAATCTATGTTTGCACAACTCACTTATCGTCTGTGTATATATATATATTAGGGGTGTAACGGTTCACAAACATTTCGGTTCGGTACGTACCTCGGTTTTTAGGTCACGGTTTGCTTCGGTACATTTTCGGTACAGCAGAGAAAATTATCACAAAACATAAAATATATATATATATTTTTTCATTATTATTAAACTGTGAATAATGTATTCACTCAAATAAATACACAATATAATAAAATAAACATTAAGGTGCAGCATTTCAATGAACTGAAATCATCTGTATTTGAACTGTACTGTAGTACCTAAGCAGCCAGTTTGACATTATGACTTGCTTGTCATTGTATTTTCATGTTTTTTTAAGAAAAATGAACTTGTCCACATTCACCCTGTAATAGAAACATGTGATGGAGCATTACTAACCTGACTCAGATGGTTTGTTTCACTATCTAGGAAAGCTCCATTGGAAAAGTATTTCAAAAATACTTGGCAGGTGATTGGATCAATCTGTCTATCACCTTCTATCATGGGCCACTTCTGATTGGTTAACAATGGCTGGTACATGTGGAGCACAGCACTTCTGATTGGTGTGGATGACTGAC